TGTAAATGTAAGAACGCCTGCCAAAAAAATGTTTATGTTCACAAGTCGGACGCTGCAGTTCTGTGCCTTCACTGCCGTGGGATAGACTGTAAAAATGGTTACGTTCCGAACGAGGATATTCCGAATGACTGAGTTTTTGTAGTAAGCTATAATGTTGAGTCAGTTGTATTAAAAAGTTAAATTTAGAAAGTCAATAAAAACTAAAAAAGTTTCCTTCTTCTGATTTTTTTGTTAGGAAATTTACATTTTTGGTTATATCTACTTATTAAAAGATTTTTTTTTGTAATATAATAAAGGTTTTTGTTGAACTTAAAATTGCCCACAAATTAAAATCGCTGCAATGGATAAGATATTTTATTTTTTTAAATTTGATCCGACGTCCATGTTTTTTTCAAGACAGCGTTTTTAGCTCACAACGGATTTTTATATTTTTGTTCTTGAACACGAAACCCATCGATTCCCGTTGAAAAAAAATGTCCCCTTTAACTTCATTGAGAAAATAAGATTTGCCTGGTCTATAATATATTGACAACAGTAGCTTAAGGCCTATCAGTTGAAACTAAGGTGTCTTTAGGTTAGTTGGTTGTTACACAAATTCTAATTAAAATAAAGAAAAGTAAGAAAATCTCAAAATATTGTGTCACAAAATATTACGAGCAATCGTTTCCCTACGGAAAACAAACAACTATTCCCTTGGCTAATACCTCAACAAACATTGAATTATGTCCAAAGAAAAACAGCAGGAAGAAAATATTTTCACTCAACCAACATCAAGGTATATTTTTTCTAGACTCAATTCAACACAGGCCTTTGTACCGCGGATGCGTAATAATTCGCGTTATAAGCGCTGAGAACGCTACGAATTCTATACCTTCACATTGCAAATAAGCGCGAATTGTCTTGGTATAGCACTGATGTGGCCCACTTAAGTTTTAAACATCAACGCAACTACAGTTGATGTAAATTCCACAAGTGTGCTATCACGCGATTTCTTAAAATTGCTGGTGCGCCTGGCTCAGTGTTGCCAGACCTACTGTTTTAACAGTAGATCTACTGTTTTTGTCTCTGTTCTACTGTTTTCACCAACTTGGCAAATTTTGTTCTTAATTTTTTAGTTTGCCTCGTTCTTCAGCAAATGTAGAAAGGATATTTTCTCAAGTAAATTTGTTGAAGTCGAATCAGCGTAATAAGTTGAATTCAGCCAGTATTGCGCCACACAAAAAATATTTGACTTCCAGAGAATCATCATGTTTTGATTTAAAATGCAACAAAAAATTAATAGGGTACATCATAATAAGAATATGCATGACAAACACAACATAGTTGAATGATCTGATTCAGACTGATCTGAAAGAAATAGATACCTATTATTTTTCATTTATTTTTTTGTCTCCTGATAAATTTTATTTATTTTATACTTTGTTTAATTTCTAATTCAGGTATAAAAGCCAAACATGTTTATTTTTCGTTTCTTATATATACAGTGTCTACTTAAATTGGAACCATATTAAAAACATTTTTATTATTGATTTTAGGAAAAAAGTTATTCTTGATAAAAAGTCCTGCATGACCCAAAACTTAAGATATCAAATTTTTCAAGCCGTATACAAGGTTTGTAAAAAAATATGAATTTTGCTCAAGACTAAAGTACGTTTATTTTTGCTAAATTCTTCACAAACATCAAGAAAAGGAAAGCGTATCATGTTTATAGCAGAGAAGAGAGAGAATGTTTCAAAAGCTAACTTAATTTATAACGTTTTCAGATATTTACAATCAATGTGTAGAAAAGTTTATAAAAAATAAGAAAATCTGTTTTTCAGATAGATCGGTGTTATTGCATATTTGAATGTAATTTCCAATTCTAATCAACTTTTATTAATGAAAATTTTCGATTTTGTCAAAAATAAACGTACTTTATTCTTGAGCCAAATTCATATTTTTTGACAAACCTCGTATACGGCTTGAAAAATTTGATATTTGATGATTGTATTTTAAGTTTTGGGTCATGCAGGACTTTTTATCAAGAATAACTTGTTTTCCTAAAATCAATAATAATTTTTTTTCCATATGGTTCCAACTTAAGTAGACACACTGTATATTTTTATTTATTATACTGCAAATTATAATTATTTCCCCCGGTTTTAAAATCTACTGTTAAGTTTCGATGATCTACTATTTTTTTTCCACCCTTCTACTGTTCCAGAAAATTTTCATCTGGCAATACTGGCCTGGCTATCCTTCAGTTGCTCTTTGTTCAGTAGTGTGGACGAAATTCAGAATAATGATGAACTACAACTAAATGCAGTACAAATTAATGATGAAATACATATTAATAATGCAATTCATACTAATGAAAATCAAGGTGAAACACAATCTTGGGAATTCAAAAATCAGGACTTACATATTCAAGTTCAACAGGTAATTTTAAATATTTTTGCTTGTCTTAAATCAGAAAATCCAAATATTTCACAAACAGATGTAATGTAGTTAAAAGAATATGTAAGTTAACAAAAATCTCTTTTTCACAATTTATTTCGTTATTAAACAAGCGTTGTGTTTGAACACAGTAAAAAAAGAAAAGGAGTCTTCAGCCGTCGGATAGATGATGCATCTAAAGATGTGATTCGACGAACGGTTTACAACACGTATAAAGTTAAACCAATTACCAAACTTAGAGATTCTTCTTACAAAATTACAAGATTTTGAAGATTTCAAATATAAATCATTAGAATCACTTCGACAAATTTTAATAACTTATTATTTTAGATATAAAAAGAATGTGGATTATGGAATCGCGTCGAATTGTGGAATTACGTCAAATTTATTTAAGCGAACTTTTTAAATTTAAAAATAGCAATATAAATATAGTTTATTTAGATGAAACATGGTTCGACACTCATGATGTCGTTCAACCAGGTTAGGCAAACGGTTCACAAAACTGTGTTTTAAATGCACCATGCTTTTTACCAAACGCTTTGGTACTTTCAGCAAAAAATATCAATAAAGCTCTGCTGGATTATCATGAATATATAAATGAAGCAGTTTTTGAGAACTTTTACCGAATATTTCACCTAATTCAGTCATTGTAATGGACAATGCGCCATAGTGGCTCTAAGAAATCAGATATAATAAAGTATTTAAAAGATAATAACATTGATATTCCTACTTTCGTAAAAACAAAACCACAATTGTTAAAAGTAAGAATATTCCAATACTGTATTATATTGATAATTTTGCAAAAGATGGTGGTCATACGGTATTGAGGTTAAACAAAAACTGAGACGTTATAATTCTACACACTACCTTAACAAATGTGGTTTTGAAAAATATTAATGGCCTTTTTAAAGATCCGTCATTGACTGATGTTTGGAAAAACAACGTTAGTCACGTCATTAAAAAGGAGAAAGAATATCATATTTTACCTTCTATAGCTCCAGTAGTTATATATCCAAACCTCGATTCCTCGACAGATGGTTTAGATTTAGATTAAATTTCTTATTTTTCATTATTGGTAATCAGAGTCATCAAATTAATACATTGTTAACAGTTTATTAGTAATTATTCATTTATTTCTTTTAAAAAATTCATTTTTCTACATTATTTTATAGTTTTGTTTTATTTGCAAAGAATTTATTTTCCTTTATGGTTTCTGCTTTGAAATTTCGTTTTCCAGAAAAAAAAGGGACACAAGAAGGGCTCAGTTCCCGTCTGGTACCCTGTTTAAACCAAACGCCCTTACAGGCAGGTAGGTACATTTTACTCGACTATTTACGTTTTATAATTTAATATTCAGTTGTAGCAAGTTAACAAGCTATAATAATGATTTTTTTTTTCTAAGTTTCAAGTAGGATTACAATTAAGTGCATCTGTCTAAATAACGGCGTATAATGCCATCCAATTTATAATGAATCGATTGCCTTTTAACAAAAACTTTCTCGCATATGATATATTTTTAAAAGTATTTATAAAAATAATTAATTTATCAAATGAGGTATCTACGCCAATGCAGATCAAACAAAATTGTCGGTCAGGGTTCGGAACGAGTATTTATATTCTGCAATTGCTAATGGAAGAACTATACCCAATCAATAATTTAATTTTAATAGTAAAAACGGTACGGTTATGTGCGCGGTCCTAGAAAGTCTAGAAAGACTACATATTCGCTCCGTGCGCGACAGCAGCGCCAATTCGTTTTGATACTAATGGACTATTTCTGCGTATACTGACAAATGCAATTTTTAATAGAATTCGTAATTAAAAAGTATATATGTTGGTTTTAATAAAAGTATATAGATTTGTAAAACAAGTAAAACATTAATTTATTATTATTATATATTTTTTTCGCTTAAATTAAAGAAAAGTATGTATATTCAATAAAAATCAATAATAAAATATAGGCAGGCAACAGTATTTACTGGAAAATGTATGAGAAGTTGCCTAAGTTTAATAAGTTGTCTTTGAAGAATCCAACCTATTCTGTCAAAATAAAAAAATACCATTAAATAATAGCGTGAAATTAAAATGTATAAAAGAAGGATCGTTATTTATATTTTCATTTTTGTCCAAAAGAAAACAGAATGAATGATTAAAACTGGTTTTCCATCAGTAAGTCACAAAATTGCATTCCAGTCACATATAATAATCAAAGGCAGAAATCTTGAAATCTAGTCCTTGCTGAATGAACATTTAAGAATAAAGGGATATTAAAGAACATCGTAAAACGATAATTTATTGTTTATTTAAAACCTTTCAAGTTTCTGATGTCTACTATTTCCAGCATTACTGTTATTATTACAAAAATAAAGGTAATTTTTCTTCTTATTGTACACCTATCCATTTAATTCTTTGATTTAATTTCCACTTTGCTACTGAAATTTTTTTTATATAAGTTTCAATGTTTTTTTTTTGCTAGTATTTGTACAATTTTCAACAGAGCAACTTCGGTTGCTTATTGTATTATTTTACCTACTTTTTGAAAAAAAAGTAAAATGTATACGTGTATTTGATATGCCAAAATTACAAAATATCGCCCTAAAATGCACGAATTATCCGCAGCTAGCGCTAGTATCGCGTTTGCTTCCCTTTCCATGACTTCGCACGGAGCGAATAAGTGAATTTTACGCATCTATACAGGTTCCATTAGAGATTGGAATCAAGAATGTCTATTCCTTGCTGATGATTCTAATGAGTCCTAATAAGGACGAAACCAGTACCAGAATAGCGTTTAAATTCAATGCTGGAATGTTAAAAATAATTTTCTATCTCTGATATTTTTCTTTGGACACAATTCAATGCATGTTGTAGTATTAGCTCTTATTATTTTGTGAAAGATGGCTTTGAGATTTTCTTGTTCTTTATTTTACGTCTTGGTTGGAATTACTTTCCTACCTTCTGTTTTCTCATCAAAATTAACTGATTTTATAATTTTTTAAATGATTAATAATTGCACTGCAATATTATTTTAGAATTCAATGGTTTTCCTAAAAGTAGATGTGTCAAAGGCAACCTATTTCAATTTTGCTTTCATCTATTTTGTGTATAAAAGATTTATTTATGTATATTATTCAATCTGTTTCATTGTAAGTAAATACATAATATCTTAAATAAACATTTTAAATAATAAAATAAAATTTTTAGTTCATACCATCTTATTGCACATTTTTACCATTTAATGAAAACTTATTGTGACAATATGGTTATAGGTAATTCTCTACAAATTAGTTCAATCAGAGAATTTTAAATTCGTCATTTTTTTTCTTGATTAAAATGGATATCATTATTGGAAGCCTGCTATGAAGTAGAAATCAAAATTTGACTATTATGATATCACTTCCTCCCGTAAACATGGATTACAATATGAATATAAAAATAAAACTTCTAGAAATCTTATAATTAAGAAATACATTCCTCAAAAAATACCAATTTATATCACTGATTAACTAGTTTGAAGAGAATAAGCCTTAATTTATATTTTATAAAAAAAGTAAACTAGAAAATCTAATATCTATCAATAAATATATAAATAAATTAACAAATAAATACAAATCCAGAGATAACCATTTACATAGTTTGGTTTACAAGTCTTGGGCCATTGTCTTTTGTTATATTTTTCTAAAAATTAAAAATATAAATTAATAATAATCAACATCAAGTTCAAAAAAAATTTAACAGATTACAGCTGGGTGCAACAATGTTCGTTACAATTTATAGACCGGAGAAACTTTAAAAGAGTTTGTGAATGTAATTAGCATAACACAGAAGAGATAACAATACAGAAAAGAAACATCTATGGTGTACTGTGAATAGATACGTTTTCTCAGAGTATCTCTGTGGTGGAACTAGCCCTATGTTTCTTTTCTGCATTGTTCTCTATTCTGTGGCCTAAATAACATGAACTTCAAATCACGCATAGTTTAATAAAGTTACGGAAATAACAATAATTGAAAGATTTAACAAGGGTTCTTGTAACCAGGTAATAATGTTATATTATAAACAGGAAATAAAGAAAAACCCAATTTCCGGAGAGTAATATTTATACAGGGTGTTATTGAATTACATGTATATAGACTATAGAATATGCAAAATTTGTGTTAAATCGGGCGTACACCACTGAAGTTGGTATAATTTATGAGTCATTTACAAACCTAGGTCACCAATTCTGAATTAAGTCATAATAGTATAGCTAATTAATACCTTTGTTGTTGTTGCTAAAATTGTTTTTAATGTTCGTGTGGTTGCTTTGTTTTTTTTTTTTACTCTCTTAAAGTAGGTTTCTTTTACAATTCCGCAATTTACTAACATTGAAAGGATGGACATGGTTTTAGTGCACGAGGATTCTGGAAAAAATGCCCGTCAAGCATAGATTCTTCAAGGCAAACGATTTCAAAATTGTCGACTTTCTGAATGCCATACGTTTGTAATAACTATCCATTATTTGATAATAATAGTTTTACGAATAATGCCAATAAAGATAGGACACGAATACTGAAGGCTGAATAAAATTTGACCGGAAATTAGATGTGAAAGATTTGCCAATGACTTTAGAGTATCTCATTTTGTTGTCTAGCAAATATAATAGAATATCATTTAGTGCCTAGAGTAGTATACATAGAAAACAAAACAATTGTGTAATGTATAAATACATAAATAAATGAATTGGAATACCTTCGACAAATTTGAAATAACACAATACTCATTAAAAATCTGATGTGTCCAACACATGTCTTTCCTATCTAGTTATTATAGGCTTTTTCCGGTTATTTTGTTCAACCTATTGCAGCATCTCTATAAATGTTTAGAGGATAAACTAAATATATACATTTTCCACATACATCTACCTCGAAACATGTTTCTATAGATATTCATTGAAAACGAAAATATTGAAAAATTTAAATTTAGAACTTTTCCTCCAATTTTTCCATTACGGTCCATTTTAGAAAAATCATGTATAAACAAAAATTATAGAGATCGATATCACAAACAATTTTTAGTTCAACAATTTTCTTAAAAATCAGAATTTTTTACATTTTGTCAAATTTCTCGAATACGGATTATTTTAGGAAAATTTTGTATGGAACAAAAAATATTGATAATAATATTGTAAGTAACTTTTATTTGAAGAATTTTCTTCTTCAAACGTAAATAACAGATATATTCCATAAAATATAAAAATGACCACCCATAAAGTACCCCCCCAGATGTTCCGACTCTGCCCAAAATCTAATCAGTTCATTGGACGCCGGAATAAAGCTTAAGTTTAAAATTTGGTGTTTTTCTTTGTATTGGTTCATGAGTTATGGTTGATACAGACACACAGACATCATCCCGAAAATAGTCAAAACGGATTCAGGGGACCCCAAAACGTAAAAATCCGTCGAAAACTGGAGGTCGAAAAAAATCATGATTCCTATACTTTCCTTATCTGTATACAGATAGGAAAGCAAAAATTAAAATTCGAGAGACGCTAAATTGGCGGTTCCCACCTTATCAAGACTGAAGCCCACAAGGGTAAACTCGTAGCGTAAAAAAACGATAATGATTTGATTTGGAACGAAAGACCGAAAGCCGATAGTAGTATAAAGATATTAAGAAGTACAGGTATTTTACAAGAACTTAATTAAAGACAGTAATAATATTAGACATAAGGATATAAATATTTTTACAAATAAGTTAGCTAAGCTAGATAAATTTAAACAGGATTTGAACTCTATAAAACATATTGTTAAGGATAAAAACTTAAATAGTAAAATATTAGAATATTACCAGGAAATAAATAAAAAAATTTGTCTAGCTCAGAAAACATTATAAGAATTAGAGTCAAATCAAATATTAATTTTCGAAATGTCTGAAAAATTTGAATCAAGAGTGGCATTTATCTTGATACCGTCAATGGACGGTACTGAAAATAATACAAAATAATTAATTGAACTCTATAACGCTTTATTAGAGGAGCTGGGTAAAACATTATTAACAACTTTCGTTTTAAAAACGCGACTTTCAGAAAGTGCAAATGTTAGATTAAACAAACAATACGTATCAAATTTAGCTTTATTTACAGATTTAAGCTCGTGTAACACATTTACAAAAAATTATGACATGGTATTATATGGCATGTTGCATATTTGAATTGTTATTCTAATTAACATGTTAAGTCTGTCCATGTAAGAATATGTGATCCATTTATCCATGCCCATATAAAAATATTTGCCTATTTATAGTTTAAAGCCTAGCCGTATAAAAATATTTGAATCCTTTATCACTTAAGTTTTCCATATCAAAATATTTAGTTCCTTTACCACTTAATCTTACCTATATAAAAATAGGTTGGACCCTTTAAACCTCCAAATCTATCCAAGTAAAAATATGTTTCCCCTTTATCTTGTACGCCTACTAAACATAATGTAAATGGAAAAACCATTGTCATGCGACGTTAAAAGCACTCAGTTCTATGAGGTACACTCAAAGCTTATAAGGGGCTGTCTGGAAGCCCTAACAGAGCTGGGTAGTCAAAACAGGCTAACCTTAGCCTGGGTACCAGGCAACGGAGGACATAAGGGCAATAAAGAGGCTAATTTACTAGCCCAAGAAAGGAGCCTCTTATTGGCCCAGAATCCTTCTGTGGTGTTACTAAGACTGCTATGAGAACATGCACAAAAGAAGTGGATGTTTAAAAATCTTAGGAACGGTGGAAAATTCACCAGGACACACAGGCCACAAAGTTCTTGAAAGGACCATCGCCTAAACTCACCGAGCATCTACTAAGGCATAATAGTAAAAATACTAGAGTACTAGTAGGTCTATTAACAGGACGGGCGGACAGAAAAAAACAAAGGTAAGTTTTCTTTTTTGCTAAATTGGAGACGGAACACTAAAAAGTACCATTTTACATATCGACGTTGAAAACCGAAAAGTGTGTAACTGGCATTTTAAGAAATTTTACAGGTGAAGCAAAACACGGTTTTTATTAAAATTATAGGTCAGTGTTTTTGCCAGTGTATTGTGATGTTATGATTACATTGTGCAAAGTACCAAACTAACATATATTTCGAATATATAATTTGTTTATTTGAGACAGAGATACACTTTTCTTATTGTCAAATGTCAGATGTCTGGAAATACTAAGATATTTATTTTCCAATTTGGAACAATTGTTACAGGAAAGGATGATACACAATTTTATACACCGATAGTATGCCCAGATAGCTAATAGATTACACTAAAATTTGAATTCAATAAAAACTTTTCAGTTTTCGCCGCCGATATTTAAAAGTACAAGCGTTATATCAGAGAGATGAAGACACAATAATCGTCATTTACCAATGATTAATTCTGCAATAAATGCAATTAAATAATTAAGGAAGAAATAAACAATATAGCCACGACAAACCAGTGGAATCATGATTTAATTTTTTGGATTATAAAAGTTCTGTACTAGTAGACAGTAGCCTGTCTTAATAATAATGAACACAATTTTGAAAAATTATTGCTGTAGTGTCTTTAGGAAATATAAAGTTTTACTTTCATTAAAAATGTAGTGTCTATTATACAGGGTCCCTACTATTTCATAGGGACAGTAATGCTATTTCTTAAACGATAACAGATAGAAAGTTAGTTAAATTAGACAAAAGTTGCGCAGTTTTGTGCTCACTAAAATGGTGCCAAGAAACCTTTTATATCTACAGGGAGATTTAAAATATAGGACAAAAATGAATATTGTTATTTCTTTAAATTCATTCATTTTTTTGTCCGATATTTTGAATATCCCTGTAGATATCAAAGGTTTCTTGAGCACAAAACTTCACAAGTAGCAATACTGTCCCTACGAAATAGTAGGGACCTCGTATAGGATTTCCAAAGTGCTTTCAATACTGATATTTTGATTTGAGGTTGGGTAACAATCAAACGTAGAAATAATGATTGAAGGTAAGGATAGCCATATGTGATTAGTAGGGATTGAGTAAGAAGGGAGAAAGAAAAGGTTCTTTATTTCTTACAAGTTATGTATGTAGCGAACGGTTTCGAAGTAGTTACTTCATCTTCAAGCACGCCTAAATGGACAATTATGGAGTCAATGTATTGTAAAGTGTAAATTTTTAATAAAAGATTATGAAAAAAGGTAAAAAGAGTCTACATATATTATAAAATTTTGATTTAAAAACAGGAGAGCAAGGAGTTGCCTCTTTAAGTTGGAAAATAACAAAAAGTTCTAACAGTCAATTTAAATTAAAAAACTACATTAAACAAATATGAACAATAGGGTGATTCGCAATGTTTTTGTGCTCAAGCAAAATATTAATCTACATATAGAAAAAAAATTCTCACCAAGTTTGAGCTCTTAATATCAACTTTAAGTACTTACTATTTAAATTTAAAGTTTTACCATTTAAAATGCATATAAATTTTTTTTTTTCAAATTTCTAATGCTTACTCACCACTCAATATTGCAAATCGGTTTGCTGGGGAATATCACGCTCTTCGAAATTATATTCATTATGATTGAGAAATCATAATTCTAAAAAAAGTTCTTAGTGTAGGCAAATATAATGGTAATCAATAGAAAAAAATAATCTAAATAACATCGAGTTAGAATTTATAAATTTCTTACGTTTTCAGGTATAAAAATGGCTGTAGGTTCATTAAATATTGGTCGGATAACTTTTTTTATGAGTCAGTCCTTTTTTCTTCCAACTTTTGGCGGTTTGCTCGAAAAAATTATTATTTTTTTTTTTTTTTTTCAAAAACTACTTTGACGACTTCTACTGGTGAACCAGTGCAAGTTACACAAATAGAATGAAAACATCAACAAAATTATGATTGTATTGTACTATAAGGGCCGATTCCACCGTTGTGTTAAACGAAGTTTAAATTACTAAACGAAGTTTAAAATTACATTGTTAATGTAAACAGGAAATGGAAATATGGTTATAAAGAAATAATAATCGAAAAAAAGGAAGTTTGTTTTTTTTTTAAATTTTAGAGTCAAATGCTAAGAATAGTGCCATTCGTTTTTGCGCATTCTTGTCTATGTACATTAATTGTAATAACACCCTGTAGATAAAAAATTATTAGGGATGCAAAGGGAAATTTGAGTGGATGTATCAAATAAATTTTCTTACTTTATTTTGAGAATTTTTCAGACCACCTACAGATATCTTACCTTTTTATTGGATGGAATGGAATTATTTGGCATTGGAAATATTGTATCACAACTTGGAGTTAGAGGGTTTTTTACATCGACATTCGATAGGCTCATACACTCTTCAAGAGTTTTTATAAATGTATCACATGTAGCACTTAAAAATCTAGTTGATTCGTCCATTTTCTGTAAGACACAAAATATTAGTTTAAATAAATTAATATCGCACCCACTTCTACAATACATATAATACACTTAGGTTTGAAATATGGAACAATACAATTTCCTTCCACTGGTAGCCCACATGTAATCTAATGCTATACAATCACAGTTAATACATGTATGTCTAATCTTTAGTATGTTAAAGAAACATTTGTTGTTAATAAACACATAAAGAATATAATTGAGAAACAAATTCAGGAATAAATTTCTGAACCCTGAGGGGTGAAAACAAACCGAAGAATTACAAAATTTAATTTAAAAAAAAATCCACTCCACATATGATTCGAATGGAATAGCGTTCCAATAGCATAACCATTAGAGCACCAGAGGGATGTGCATCCAGAGTCCTAACAATTATTTTGAGAAATACAATTCAATTTCAACCCGTTTTTTTTGATCCTATTCCATTTTTTAACACTTCCTAACCACCTTTGCAACATAAACTGTAACTTACTTCAATTTCGGGACCGTTTTGTTCTTGCGCTGCTGATTTAATGACGTGAACCTGTTGCATCAGTAAATCACAATATAGCCTTAATTCTGACTTCTTTGATTTCAATACATCTGGATTAGAATCAACTAGAAGTGTACAATATTCATTATCATTTTGAATTTAAGCAGAATTTAAATTACTTTATCAGTTGCTACTTACAAATGGAGTTTTCATTTCCTTCAATACAAGCTTTAGCACTACCCAGTGCTACTAGCCACTGCTGTCTTTCCTGGGAAGTAGCTGCTCTTAGGTAAAGGTGCTGTTCACCAGGAATTACTAAATCCAAACGAGTTGTATCTAGAGGGTTTACTAAAATAAATATTGGGTAGTTAATGTACCAGTTTTTTTTAGATTTAAGGCCAATCTTTTCACCTCTGAGTAAAGTTGAAAGTAACTACTTGCTGATTAAACTGTAGGGTTATTGTTTGTTAATCTGTTAAGTAGATCTATATGTAACTCTAGTCAGAGGGGAAAAGATCGGCCCTTAAAATAATAATACTCTTTATTGAACAATAAACCAATTTATAATTAATATAACTGACAGAATTGAATAGGCAAGTACTCAGATTTATGAAAGCATTTTCTATATTTTTATGTAAAAAGAATCCTGACCAATGACAAACAACTACTAGACTAATTTTGTTTACAAAAATCGAATTGCAAACATTACGGTGTTATTCACGTACTTGTCAAATTATTATGAGAGAGTCTTGTTACAAGTATTGTTTATGATTATAGTTATGTATTGACTTAACACAAGGCTCTAAAAATCACAAAAAGCTTTCAAAATTACATTAAGGAAGTATATTTGCATTCTTATTGCCAGTTATTATCAGTTTAATGTATTTTTCTGTTTGTTTCATAAAATACAGGCGCGTTCATCAGATAAATAAACTCGTACAAACCATCCCCACTCAAATTAGCAGCCGTCTCGTTCTCTCAAATGCGACAGCCGATGCAACAGGTCTGTCTGAGTAACATAAAACACAACCTGAATGATTGCAATAAATAAGTGCTAAACTTACGTAGACAGTTGGTGGCATATGAAAAACTTTTTTATTATTAATATTAGAAAAAAAAGTTATTCTTTATAAAAAGTCGAGCATGGTCTAAAACCTAAAATATAACCATCGTATACGAGGTTTGTCAAAAATAAAGGTACTTTACTCTTCAGCAAAAATCATTATTTGACAAACCTCGTATATGGCTTAAAATGATATCTGATGTTGCATTTTAAATTTTGGACCATGCAGAACTTTTTACCATGAATACATTTCATAAAACCAATAATAAAAAAGTTTTGCATATGGTTCCAACTTAGTGAGACATATGGTATATGTGGGATTGATTTGGAGTTGTTCTATTTTCTCAAATAAATATAAGCTCAAATTCTTCTAAAATCACATGATCAACATTGCCATCTTCTCACTTATGTTTTTAACCTTTCTATTAAGTCTTCCCAATATACATGTATCCACAACAATAGTGATAGTTTCTGTTAGATTAGATATTACTTAAATACTTGTATCAGAATCAAAAACTTTAAGTGCATAGAAGAAAATTCAATAGAAAAAATGCAAATTTACTTGAGAGTGATGGAGACCTATTGAATTTTGAAGATTAGATGGTAGAAAGAAAAAATAAGTTATATGATGTACACCCTTTCGCCAGTGGAGCCGGGTCTACGGGTTATAAAAATTAAAAAAAAAAACAGTCACATGGAAATATTCGGACACGTCAGATAATACTAGAATATATAATAATAATACTCTCCCTAATTCACCCCCTTACGAGTGAATTTCGACCCCTGAAGCCGACTGAGCGACTTGTGTAGGGGAAGGGATGGATATTATTATTTGCCGTGGTACTCCGGGGCGACTTAAAGATAATTGATGGCGCTATTTGACTTACAAGTGAGGAAAACCCCACCCACCATCATCGAAAACGGTAGCGCATGGCGATTTTTATAATATGGATGTCATATCAACAGAAATTTAATTTCTGCAAATCCTATAAAGAACTATGCAAATAAAATTCACATTATCTTCTGTGGGATTCGAAGCTGATATACTCGTATCTCTTTTACCACAAAATTGGCTCGCAAATGAATGCGGCGTCGTAGACACACCTACGCTACCGTAGTCGATAACCCACGTCTAACTGATAACGGAGGTATGTTAATCTACCGGTTTGCATGGTAGAGGTGGTCGTATGGGAGGGCTGAAAGTAAAAAAAAAATAATAATTCGAGCCTGTCAGATATTTAGAGGGGATGTTAGGTGAACCCGAAAGATGCTCACATTCAAATGACTGACGATTCTGACGGTACTCAAGTTTGCGGCGGCTGTTTGGAAATGCAAAAAAATCGCCATTTTGAAATACTCGAGCGCATGAGATTATCATATGCACGGTTCAACTTGATGTCCTATATGTGCTGACCTACAATCTGAAGATAATCTGGAGGGATTTTCTTAATTTAATGATTTGAAAAAAAAAATTATTCATAATTTTTTTTTAAACTGAACATTTTCAAACGGAAAACTGAAATAGGAAAATGTATTTTTCTAATTATAACATACGAGGGATGTTTCCAAAGTTCTGGAAATTTAGCTATAATTCTTATTATTTTGTTAATTTTCGTCAATATTACAATGTAGTTTTTCAACATAAGCTCCATTTAACTGAATACATTTATCCCAATGAAAAACAAATTTTTTTAAGCCGTCCTCGAAAGAATTTTTTCGATGTCTCCCCAATCCACCTATTTATGGCACGTTTTACGTCAGTTAAACTTTGAAATCGAACACTCCGTAAAGGTTATTTTCAAATCTGGGAACAGATGTTAATCACCGAGTGCAAGATCCCGGGAATAAGGTTGATGTGGAAGTAATTCTCATCGTAAATCGTTCAAAACGTCCTTCGTTTTTCTTGCGGTGTGTGGTCTTGCATTATCCTGTTGCAATAACGGACGCTTATGCAACTTTCCAGGCCATTTTTGACAAGTGCCTGTTGCAGTGGTCTGGATAATAAATTCGAATATTCTACTTTTGGATTCTGCCACTAAATACTCCTTGCAGACGCTGAATAATTTCTGATGTTTTCCCACCTTCTTTCCACAAAAAGAAAATTATTGCTCTTTGAGATTTTGCTAAGTCTTCCATGGTTACTAAAACAGTGCTATGAAAACGCATCTAAATCAGTCGAACATCTAAATCAGACTGAACATTATTGCACTAGATAGTAGCATAAACATGTCAAGACTTGTCTGGCACCAATAATATTTCCTATAAGTTCTGCGTAATTTAATTATAGCACAATTCCCAGAACTTTGGAAACATCCCTCGTACATTCAGATAAAAATAGTTACATAAAATGAAAATATATTCTATTCAACTTCATGCGTTGAATCACCTTGTTCATCTGATTTTATCCATTAAATACCTAATAATACATACAAACAATTTAGGAACCAAGTAGTTGCTATCAGAATGCAATCGAAATGAATGTACAGTTACCTACAGTACTTATTTCGTTAATAAACTCATTCAATTCACATAATGAACGTAGTAAAAACTTTGTCATTGTAACTTTAGTAGGTGTTTAATTCGTACAAACCAAACGACACAAACTGATTGGTTTTCATACGTTTAGGCAGAAGGACTTCGGCCGATAGCCTATTGGACTGAATTTTCAGTTTAATAAATGACAATTATTATTATTATTTTTATACGTTTCTCAGTGTATTAAACACGTATTCTCATTTATTTATATATACGGGTAACCCCATTAAAGACAAAATAATACAATAATACAATGAAATGTCAATTACACAATTTACAAATAGGTAACACAATGGGCCATGTTCACATGTGAGATATGCTGTTTTATAAACTATATTGTAATAGTTAGTCGCTATACAAGTTATTCTAAATAATCAGTTCGTTAAAAAAGCTAAAAGTTTTTAAATTAAGCCCAATTGAAATTTAAAATTATACGTCATCGGGAATAGACCAATCAGCTTGTGTCGAAGTTTTTTTTGTTATACTAAACCAAGCCAACGAACAAACCTACACACAGAATGTCGAAGTGAACGCACATTTAAGTGACATTAAAAATTGACAGCACCTAACAACTAACCTTAGTTTTTTATTTTGGTTTAATTTTATTATTAATCTGAATTTATCTGGGTAAATTATCCTGTGGGATATAGGATATATAAAGGAAGAAGAATATGAATTTATCAGCTGTATTTATAAAAGTTGAATCAAGTATTTTTCCCATTGTAAACGAAAATATGATTACCGAGATGATTACTGCATTTTTTAACAATACTCAGTTTACAAAAGATAGAAAGGTAAAACTTTATTTATAAATTGTTTTAATGGTAGGTAGTTACAGTTTATATGAAGCAATACACTTTATAGTAAAACATATTTATCTCAGGTTTTATTTTTAGATCTGCCAAGCAAGAATATGGAGATATTTACTTTTTCCATAAGAGAGAAGGAGACAAATTACACCTAAACATAAAGTACAGAAAAAACCTTATGATGTGGCTATTGTATTTAACAAAAATGAAATTTTTAGTGCACAATGCTTAGTATATGTTGAATCTCAAGGTTTGTAATATTTATTATGCTTTTTTGTTTTTATATCACATATAATAAACAGTGTATAAGGCCCTTTATTCCTATAAATATTTTTTTTCTAATTTTGACATAGACATTTTTTGTAATCGCAGCAAGTGTTAAAATAATCTAGAAATAGATTTTGTTAGTGAACCTAGTAATAATTATGATACCAAAGTGCTGCAGAGCACCTATGAAATTTTGAGTTAAAACATGCCATATTTTTAGGCTATTTTTATACCCTTTTCAAAAATTTTATGCTCCTCGTTTTGTGCAAAACTTAAAATGCTCTGATAGCTTCGAACGAAGTCAGCAAAGCACCTCTGTTTTATAAAGTTTTTTCTGTAAAAACAGCAACACCATATTTATGCACTTGAAATATTATATTTTTAAAAAATACATGGTGCTTGCTAACCTTCGAAAGAAGCCAGCAGAGCAATTCGGTTTTTTAAAGCTTTTTTCTAAAAACCACACCCCATTTTTAGACTCTTGAAATATTGTAAAACTTTACTAAAACAATTGCTATTTTTAAATAATACAGGGTGCTTTGTTGGAACAAAGTCAGCAGGACACTTCAGTTTTTTAATATATAAAAACAACTACTTATGACACATGTTTAGGCTGTTTTAAAATCCTAAAAATGTGGTAAGTATATTTGTTTTCAGAAAAACTTTGAAGTCAG